GGGAACAAATTCTCCCAAGTCCAGATGGATGGGCAGCTTTTCTGCCTCAGCCTCCTTGGGATTGGGCCAGAGGTAGAGGGACAGGACAGGTCCAGGCTCTGAGGATAGAAGGGTTTAGGGTGGGGCAGCTCGTCCAGATCCTGGAGACGCCTCTCCCTCCTGATGAAAGAGGGATCAGGAACTCTCCAGAAAGAAGAGAGACCCTACCCTCCTCCCCCCATCTCCCCAGGTGAGAACTTCGATTGCTGAAGGGTTTCCAGCACACTCCACGAGTCTGGACAGCTCGGAGCTCTAGCCGGAGTCCCCAGCTCATGTGTCATTGCCCAGGCAGCTGGGAGAGGGGCCTGACCCCTTACCCCGAAGCACCTGCCTCGGCAGTGTCATCAGAGCCGTGGCTTGGGGACTTTGTGGGCACTAGGGATGGCTCAGCCTGTCTCCCTCACCAGCCCTTCTCTGCCTTGCCACCCTCCTCTCCCTGGCCTGCAGACAACCCCTCGTCCTGTCCTCTAAGGTGGGCTTCAGCTCCGAGCTCCCTCCCTTAACCCCCCATCACTACCAGCTCTCCGAGAGCAGCAGAGATTCCTAGAGATGCTTCTGTGTCTCTCAGCCCTTCCTTCTCTCTCACAGATGGGAAAATCGGTTCAGGTTTGCTCCTAGGACCCACACCCAAGCTAGCCGTGGCTGCTCCCAGCTCCACCCCAGCCCTGGGTATGGCTTTCCCTCGCCCCTGGCTCTCCAGGTGGCCCCAGGGGCTGCCCAGCCCACACATCCACCCTCCTGCCCCCCCAAATAGCAGTTTCCTGACAAGCTTCTCCCCACCCCCCCTCCAGGTCTCTCTGGACCGCTTTGCTGTCCTCATTGGTGTTCACAACACCTTCCAATTTAATATCCTCTGCAAATTTCATTAACGGACTGTTTACTCCCTCTCTCAGGATCATTAATGAAGATGTCAGATAAGATCTGACCCAGTGCTGGGTCTGGGCTGCCCTGCCCCCGCTCCCAGAATCTGTCCTGCAGCCCCTTCTGCCTGGGCACGCCTCCTCCACTCAGGACCCTTGGGACCTGCCCCCCTCCTGCTTCCGGCCCCCTGACAAGTGCTGAGGGCCAAGTCTGCTTGAATTAATTTTGTAAGATTACTCGAGGCGCTGTATCAAATGCTTTGCTAAAAATCAAGATATATTACCCTGCCTGCATTTCCTTCATCTACCGGTCTTGTAATTCTATCAAGAAAGCTATCAAGTTTGTCAGGCATGATTTGTTCTTTATAAATCCCCATGGTGCCGCGTGGGGGCACAGAGTTCCCGCGTTTTCTAAATGTTTAGAGATTCCCTCTTTGTGTTTGCTCCTTGATTAGAGCTGGAAGGCTGTGAGCTGGGAATTGTGGGGAGAGTGCGTCTCTTCCTCTGGGATGGGGAACGGGGCACAGCTCCTCCCTTCTCTGGGTCTCTGCTGGGGGCAGTGAGTTTAGTGCCCATGGAGTACCTCGCAGCTGCTGCGGGCCCCAGCCTGGGTAGTGAGGGTGGGGATGGACGCAGGGCTCGGCTCGAGGCTGGTTATTTTCCCTCAGGGTTCTGCAGGCAGATGAGGAAGAGAGATAAATCTGAAGCCAGCATTCGGGAAGTATCCTTAACTGAGTGATTGCCTTATCGCTGTGCTCAGATCTCATTTAAGCCCCTCCCCTGCCCTGGGAGGTGGGTGTGGGCTCTCCGGTACCTGGGACTCTGGGGAGGATAAGGCTGTCCAGGACCCAAGGTCTGGGTTTCTCACCTGCTATTATGTTGCTCCTAACCACTCAAGGCATCAGTATAGGGTCAGGAGATCTAATTGGGGTGGTTCAGCTAGAGGGTTTCAGGAGGTTGGAGGGGAAAGGAGGGGAAGCCTTCAGGAAGAACCTGGGAGAGGTGAGGACCTCACACACCGTGCTCCGTAGCCCGAGTCCAGTTCCCCCGCTAGGCACTTCTGAGCTGTAGGAGCGAGTCACTTAACTTCTGTGAGCCTCTGTCACCTGTGTCATGGAGCCTGCTGTAGTCCTTACTCCCGAGCTTGGAGAGACTGTCCAATAAAGTGGGGCATGAAAGGTGTGTCACACGGTTCTAGGCCCTCAGCGAGCAGCCATTATGTCCTGTCCAGGTCCCTGTTGGTGTGGGGCAGGGACACTCATCCGATTTCTTGTGCCCAGTGGGTGGCTCTCCCTAATGCTTCTCATCCAGGAGACAGCAGTGACAGGGTGAGCCACACCAGCATCCATGCACAGGGGCGTCCGCGCAAGCTGCTGTGGGCTGGTGGTCAGGTCTAGGCTTAGGGAGCAGCGAGACCTTATCCTGGTCTTGAGCCCAAACCCTAAATCCCATTCTAGACCATTTCAGGCCAGGTACGAATAAAGACATTCTTTGGCATCCTCTTGGTTACATAGGATTTGGACGTTCCTGGGCTTTCTGGGCAAGAAACATACTCACGCTTCCCTCTCCTTGCCTAGCCAGACTGCTCTGGCGCTGTCAGGTGTGATACTGCACCAGCCGTGTCCACACCCACCACCTCTTCCGGGCTTCGTGATAATCTTCCTTTTTGTCATTCAGCTGGGAGGGAGAGCCCCCTGGGAAGTGGTGAGGTGGCAGAGACTCGATGCCAGTCACGACTGGGGTCCTGTCTGGGTATCTGCTCCCGCAGCTCCCTCCATCCTGCGTGAGAGGCTCAGGTGAGCCTCTCCCATGCCCAGCTCGCCTCCCCAGGGGCCAGCTGGGGAGGAGGCTGGAGACTCCAGCACTGGGGTCTGAGGGCCCCCCTCCCACCCCTCCAACAGCAGCTGCTAATTAGCTCCTGCGGGAGGTTTCCCATCCTTGAAGCTGGGAGGATGGGCCAAAGCCCCGGTGTCCAGGGGGTGGAGCCTCGGTACTATTCCGACTCTGGCTGTGGCTGCTGAGAAGGAGGGGGTGGTGAGGTTGGGTGGGGGGCGGGGGACAGGAAACCGGGGCCTTTCCGCCCAGTGTAGGGGCAGAAGGGTCCGCCTACCAGAAGCCGGGCTGTGGTAGGACCAGCCTGAGGGAACCGGGCCCTTCTGACTCATCCCTCCTCCATGAGGCGCCGGGCACACCGGGGCCTTGTGCCAGGAGGTCAGTCACTCTCCCCACTGCTGGGGAAAACTTTCCTCCAGTCGGGCCAGGACCCCGCCAAGCCACTGGGCCCACAGCAGGACTGCGGGCAGTCTCTGTCCCTTGGACAGCAAGTGTCTCCAGCCACACGGGCCATGGCAGCTTTGGGGCAGGAGACTGTGGCATCTGTTTTAACTTCCTTAAACATTTTCAGGCTATTACATTTGGTCTGTAGGTTTGAGCGGCCCTTGAAAATCACACTCCTGGTTCTTACTTATTGGGTCCCTGCTCTGGGCCCAGCACTGTGCTAACTTCTTGATGTTTCTCGGCTTTCTGTCTCACAACCCAAGTATTTGGAAGATACTGTGCCTATCTTTCCCATTTCACAGATGAGGACAACTGAGGTCCATGGAGTAAGTTAAGCGCCTCACTCAAGGTCTCATAGCTATCAAGCAATAGCAATGGGGTTCAAACCCAGGGCTGTCCAGCCCCACAGCTAGGGGGCCCAACCACCACCCAGTTATACCTGTGGGTAACTTTCCAAGGACGCTTGAGGCACCCATGGGGGTCTCTGATGTCATTATGTGTGGACATCAGAGGGATCTGCTCTGGAGATAACCAGAGCTCCCAGGGGGCAGCAGAGCGTCTCCGCTGAGGGGGGGATTTGGTGGACAGTCACTTTCTGGAACCACGACCGTGAGAACTTGTCCCGCTGAATGTGCCTGAGGAACTACTGATTCTGCCTGTGGGATCTGTGGATAGATAACGGGGCCCGAGGACTCTGAAGACTGTATACAAACGCCATGTTTGTGTTGGTGCAAATTCTCAGGAGAAGGTCCGCAGGCCTCACAGTGTTTCAACTTGTGAGGGCATCACCCCAAATAGACGTTACTATTGCCTCCCATCTCCCTTGGGACAGCCCGGACCACAGAGACTGATTCTGGATCCCATGGGATCTCCTTCCCTGGAAGGTTGCACTGGCTGAATTACGTGCCGGCATACCGCTCATCTTGAAGGATGTTCTGGAACACAGCCCCATGAAACTCATCCTCGGGCTTATTAGGTATGAGTTCTTGAGAATGGTGGGCTGTGCTCAGGACTCTCTCTAGCAGACCCCTCGGGAGAAATCTTGTGCTGGATTCAGTACCAGGAATAACTGGGCATCTCTTGAGCAGATGTTGTAGTTCTCATCTCATGGATCCTATGAAACATGAAGTGACGTATTTCCCTTTTCCCATTGGCTGCCAGGCAGCTCTGACCCAGCTGGGTTGCCTGGAAGTGTCTTGGCTCTTGTATGCTAACCTAGCTTCTGGTTCTTTCAGACTTTCATACCCTTGTTTTTCACTTACCTCATTTCACGACCTCACTTTTTTTTTTTTTTAAGGAAGAAAAAAAAAAACCCTTGCTGATTTACATGTTTTAGCCTTAACTAAACAAACATCTCTGGTGGGTCAGCGTTGGCTACCGCTAGCTACCGCAGACCCAGGGATTAAGCACTTCCTTTCTGCAGTCTCTCCCAGAGGCTTGTTTGCCAACTCCTTCCTCCCTGTCCTGTCCCCCCTGCCCCTTGCTCCAGTTCCTGGGGCTCCGGAGAGCCTCCAGGCTGCTGGCTACTGGCTCCTGAGTTTGGTCGGAAATCTCATGTTCAGGAACTTTATTCTTTACCCTCCCTATCTCCACAGAGCTCTACAAGCTGTTTTTAGGAAGAAAAAGTGGGGAGGGGCATCATTTCCCCAACTCAGGCTTCCACTCCTCCCTGCAGCCCCTGTCCCCTGGGAGGTCTCCCTCTTTTTCAGCTCCTGACCTGTGTCTCTCAGCAGCACCCGCTGACTGCCATCCTTTGTGGCCTGCCTGAGCAGACAGAGCCCAGTTCTGGCTGGAAGGTAGTGACTTTGACCCTGGTGCCTTGGAGGTGGGGGAGGGGAGAGCCGGCTGGCAGTGCCCTGGGGGACAGAATTGGAGGCACAGTGAGTTGCCAGTGTGATTTCAGTGCCCCGCCCCTCCAGGTCTTGCACGGGGCGGCTTTGCTGTCTCCCAGAAAGTTAGTAAACTCAGAACTGAGAGGCTCAGTGTGAGTTGCTTTCCTCCCACCGCAGTCTCCTGGCCCCTCCCGCTAGGGCAACTGGGGTTACCAGAATAGTGGTTGTATATGAATGTATATAAATACTCCCCCCTCGCACGCATTCCCTTTTTAAAAACAAGAAGTAGTAACCTACTATTGCACATGTGGTTTCTGGCTCTGGCTTTTTTATCTTGGGCCATGGCCTTGCATTCCATGTATACAAATCCGTGGAGGCTTCTCTGATCTGGTCAGTTGAAAAGAAAACCTTAGGGCAGGGGAGAATACTGCTCGTAAAGGGGTTGAAGCCTCTGCAGTGCCCATGGTGGGCTTTAGGGGGGTCCACAAACCCTCTGACTGTGTATGTAAAGTTGTGGATGCAAAGGAATCTTTCTGGAAAGAGCGACGGTGTCTTTCCAAGTGGCCTGTGGCCCCAAAAAGGCCAAAGCCACAGCTCTGGGTTAGATGCGGATTTACAGAGTAGAAGCTGGGGGCGGGGGTTAACCCAGCAGAGGGTGGAGCCCCTTGGCTCTTAGGCCCCCTGGGGGCTGCCCTGGCCGGGGCTGAGGGCATGGGGTCCAGCTTCCAGCCCTGATAACGTTTTTGGAAGATGACTGGGACTTTCCTGCTCCCAAAGGAGCATCCCCCTGCCAGCAGGGGGGTTCTGACCCTGAAAATGGAGCATGGGGCCTTCCTGGGATCAGAGAACCCTAGTAGTCAGAGCTTGGAGGCCCTTAGCCTGGATCAGTGGAAATACCGAGGCCAGCGAGGGGCCAGCGGATGAGTCCAAGGTCACCTGGCCAGGGGAAGCAGAGGTGGTTCCTGCCTGTGATCTTGAGCTCAGTGATCCTTCCCCTGCTAGAGAGGAATGAAACTGGTAGGAGAGGCGCTCTGGATGAAGTGGGGCTGCCCATTGATGCTTGCCTCTTGGTGTGTGGGTGAAGAAGAGAGGATGCATAGAGCAGAGGCCACATCTCGGATGGGGGTGTCATCATCACACTTCACGGCATCCTGCAACATCTCCTCCCTTGGCTGAATCCTCACCCGAGGGCCCCAGGTAGCACTGGCCGCAGGGAATTCTGAACCCAGCGAAGAACGCAGGGCCAAGAGGCTGTACTACAGGATGTGACCGCTAGAGGGCAGCGGGCAAGCCGCTGCGGTGGCCCAGCCGCGGGAAGCTCTCGGGCTGGGAGAGGAGCGGAAGGAAGGGAAGGCACGGAGCAGAGGCCGGCCGGCGTGGCAGAGGTCTGGGCACCGCAGCCAGGGAGAGTGTCTGTCTAACCGTCAGTCAGTGAGATCTGTTCTCACGTGCTTACTCGAGACACGAAGCGGACGAGACATTTAATGATGATAATAGCAATGTACATTCATTGAGTACTTACTTTGTGCCGGGCACTGGGTTAATTAGTCCTCACAACAGCCTTGTTAAACTGATCCCCCCTGTTCTGGTGAGAGAACAGAGGCACAGAGAGATTCAGAAACCTGGTCATCAGTGGGGCTCGTGCCAGAGCCCATGTCCCAAGCACGCGGCTGTGCTGCATTCTATGCCTGGCATTGACTAAATGCTTTAATTCTTTCAATTCTTGCAACTGCTGCTGTGGTTGTACCCACTTTATGGGTAGGGAAACTTCGGCGCAGAGACCTCTAGTGAATCCAGGTCCACACACCTGCTCAGTGATATCCAGGTGGGTGTGGTTCCGTGGCTTGAGCCCTGAGCTACGAATTCCAGTTCCCCAATGGAGAGCTGTTTTTCACTCCCACCCTGTGCCCTAATCTGAAGGTGGCTGGTACAGAAACCTGAGTTTTCCCCTGGGACTTCACTGAATCCCCGGCTTCCAACACAAGTTACAGATTCTGAGCTCCTGTGACTAAGGCTTGCCTGGATTTTGACTACCTAGAGGTGGAGGAAGGTCATGCCAAAGGCTGCTTAGAGCCCAGGGAGGGGTCGTGGGGCTCGCAGTCTGGCTTGGAGGACAAGGGCATTGAAGAGTTCCTTGCAGTGGCCAGAGCTCCCCTGGGAACAGTGGGACCTGGCCCTGGGGCCTCTGGTTTCCAGGGCAGATGCCTCCAGCATACCAAGGAAGCTTGGCCAGTCCTAAGCCCGGCTCCGCCAGGCTGGCAGGAGAGTGGGGGCATTTCTAGGAGGGCCTGACTTTCTTCATCTTCCTGTTCCCACGCCCTCGCTTTGCCCTCCTGGGAGGCAGGGGGATGGCCTGAGGCTAAGCCTTTGAACACATTGCCCTTGCTCAGGCTATACCTTGTGGACCCGAGCCCCACTTTCTTAGGGATTTAGAATGAGATCCTTCATTTACTCCTGATTTATTAGCCAAGGCAGCGGTTTCTAATCTTGGCCTTAAATTTCTCTGGGTTGGGGTGGGAAGAGGTGGTAGGGAGGCTCCCCTTGGTGGGTGAATTCTGGTGGTACCAGAATCTTGGAGTAAAGTGAAGTCTCCCCCAGCCTTCTGTTTCCTGTCTTGGTGGGGACCAAAGGGGATTAAATGTAGTGGGTCAAGGAGGAGGATTTGAGCATGGGCTCCAGAGAACACAGCCTGGGCAGGAATTCTGGGTCTGGCCCCTTACTAGGAGTGTGAGCTGGGGAAATTCATCTGTAAAATGGGGATATGAGGACATCAGCCACATAGGCTTGGTGTGAGGGCGAGAGGTGTTTTTCACTCCCACCCTGTGCCCTAACCTGTGATCTCTTCTGGGATAAACATCGTGAATACCCAGTAAGTGCTTGCTTCCCTCATGTTCTCCCCCATCCATAATTCCTAGAACAGTGCCTGCATCATGCTGGATAGCTGACAGATCTTTATGAATAAGTACAAAAAGAGTCCATCCTAAAGATGCGTATTAGGACATTGCAGCTGTGGTCTCTTACTCAAATAACTTAAAAATATTACCTGTACGATTATTAATGGTATTCCCTACCTGTTCTTTAGAGGCATCTGTCTTGGGACACTTAGGCAGGGTGGGCCCGCATTTTGCAGGAGAATCTAATTTAATGCAAGGAGGCAGTTTTCTCTGGGTACCTCAGCGAACCCTGTTGATGGAGTCTGCATTCTCTGCGGCCCTGGGGTGAGGTGGGGGTGGGATGGGCTGGGGTCAGGGCTGTGGTTTTCTGTGATCACACTGGAGGTTCCCAAGAGTCTAGGTTGTGTTCTTCCTATATTTACCGCCACCTGGTGACGTGGTACTCTTCCCTGTAGGTACTGAGCACAGGCTCAAACTTAAAATTGGACTCTTAAGCCCCAGATCCTCAGCTGGCCCACTGTTCTCTCAGCTCAGCCTCTGCACCCCTCCTGGAGGCAGCCAGACTGTTTCAGCTCTGTGTCTTCTCCGCTAAGCTGATGGCAAAGGGGCTAGAGCACTGGCCCAAGAGTCGATGCAGATGGATTTGAGTCTCTGCTATTCCTTATTTGCTTCTGCACATTTGCTTAGTCTTTGAGCCTCAGTTTCTCCACCTAAACAAGCGAGGACCCTGACCTCCCAGAGGGGGCTCTAAGGAATATTGTGGTGTTTGGAGTTGGCTGAGCCACACAGCAGGGCAGGTTTGGGAACTGAGGATCCACGAACCCCTCCCCGAAAGGAGCTGTGCCAAATAGCGGGATGTGGGAAGAATATTCACAAAGCACAAGTTCACCCCCTCCCCACCCCCAGCCATGATCGTTGATCCACAAGACTTTGATCAACAAGACCACAGCAAAGGAAAGGATCTCTGAATGTTACATTACAGATCGTCTGTACCCTTGGAATGCTCAGTCTCTCTCTGGCTGATTTATACATGGGCTGGGGACATCAACTGGATGAAGGCCAGGTGTGTGTAAGCTGGGGAAACAAGGTCAGGTCTCCTCAGAGGGAAAGTGTGGGCTCTGGGGAACCTGTGAGATGTGTGTTAAACCAGGCACGTGAGCTCAGGCAGGTCACCCCACTCTCTGTGTCTCAGCTTCCTCGCCTGTGAAATGGAGCTGATCCTGGCCTCCCCGTGATGCTCCTGTGCGGAATAAATGTGCAAGTGCAGGTAAAGGGCTTAGGAAGTATTCGACGGATGCTAACTGAAATAATGCCACAGTCTTGGGTTTGAACTTAGAATCCGCGGATAGCATCCAGGTCGGGAACGCTCCCTGGTCCACTTATGCTTTGAGTTTTAGGTAGCTGTTCTCGTCTCCGGTGTGGTTGGAAGAAGACCCTCCCTCCCTGGCTGTCCCTTCTGTGCGGGTCTTGGTGTCTGGGCTGTCCGGAAGGAGCTGTCATTTACACCTGGAGGTCTGGGGTGAGCACCCCCTGCCTTGGTGATTTCTACCAAACCCCTCTTGGGGAGTCACTGAAAAAGTCAAATTTTGAAGGGTTGGGCTGTTCTGTTGATTTAAAACACAGAACCAGTCGGGACTGTGCTCCGGCCTAGTTTTCTGGAATAACCTTGACTCTGATGCTGTTCCATGGTTCGGTGCTGAGCACTGTGTCTGGTCACCACAGCTGAACAGAACTAGGGAGGCCCCAGGTTATTTGTGGTCAGTGGATTTCTTTGCAACTCCCCTGGATGGTGGGTGTGAGGGGTCCTCCCCGCGGTGGATACCTGTGTAGGATTCCCACTCTTGGTCAGCTGAGGGTATAAGCTTGCCAGCTCCCTGCCCACTGGGTCCTGGCGTGAGGGACTTGGACCTGCCAGGAAGGGATGGGTAGGGGGTGGGGGAGGTGGATGGAAGGCGCAGGAGTCAGGAGGTCAGATCCCGGGGATAAAATGTATCCCTGGCATAGCTGGAGCCCTGAATCAGTGATAGATCTGGGAGAGCAGCTGGGGCCCTTGTTGCCCAGCACTGGGGGGCAGTCTGTGGGGCACAGGGTGTAAGAGAGAAGGGGTGGGAAGGGCGATATTGACAGACCAACCCTCCCCCCCCCCCCCCCCCCCCCGCCCCAGTACCTTTCCCCTCCCTCTCTCTCTACAGTCTGTTGGCCACACGGCTGCTGTACAGGTTGGGACTGCCGGCTAGGCCAGGAGACCTGGTAGCTGTGGACTCTCTAGCTTGGAGCAACCCTTCTTTGGTGAGTCGGGGAGCCCTTCCTGCATTCGCTCTGGGAGCAGCCCCAGCCTTCCCTTGGGGCCTGGTAGCTGAGCCAGCCTCTCTACGGGGCAGCTTCCTGATGCTCCGACTGGCCCCTTGCTCTGGACATTTGGCACGTCCTTCATTTTCCCTGCTCTCCTGGCTGCGCCCCCCCCACCCCCGCCCTGGGCCCACCCTTGCTTTCTCCATTCTTTGAGATGCCCCTTTTCTTCCACCCCGTCCTCTTCTCTCCATCCTGCCTGGTTCTCTGGCGCCATTGCTGGGTCCCAGTGGAGTCTCTGAGCGCCCCCTGTGGGCAGAGGGCTGAGAGCCTAATGGTGGAGGCCCTTGAGGACTGGGATGGGGGTCCCTGAGGAGCCCGTTCACCCTGTTGTCAGTGGGGTCATCTGCCCCACGCCTGGACCTCTTGCCCCAGTGGCTGGGAGCAAACCTGGAGGGTGCTGGGGCCTGGGAAAGGATGCTTTGCAGCAGCCCCTGGACCTTTCTCTGGGCCGGTTGACTCTCATTGGCCCTGGGAGTCCCGGGGGTCCTCATCTGGGTACACTGGGCACCGGCAAACCTAAGCTGGGAGGTGGGCTTGACGAGTTGTCCCCCTCTCCTGGCCTAGTGGGTACAGGTGAGCAGATCCTCGTGGTGTGCCTCTGACATAAGCTCTTTTTCCTTCAGGGGTGGTGGGGGGGAATGGAGGAAAGATGACCACATGGGGAGCCCGGTGCTTGCTCGTGGGGGTGAGAGATGTAGGTGGGCCCCAGAGGAGCTGGCAGGCGTGACAGGCAGTGGCAGGGGAATGGCTAGAAGCAGGGACTGGTGGGCCGCGGAGTGTGTGAGCTGGGGAAGATAGCTTCTTGCACAGTGGGGCTCACTAAGGAACTGCAGGTTGATGGTGGGAGTCCCCTGCAGCATTCGTTAAACTCTGCATGTGGGAAGTCAATTTGTTCGGTCCCCAGAAGCTCCCAAGATTTACAAGAGAATGTAGAAATCTAGTCTAGAAGCTGCTCAGTCCTTAGGCGCATGCGTGAGCATCCGGCAGGCAGTCGCGTAGGTTCGGGGACCCTATGGAGACCAGCCTGTCCAAAAGAGCAGGCCAGGGCACCTGGTCTGGTGATGCACCTGGCACAGCCTGCTCCCTGATGGACGTCCACCTTTGCCCGCAGACCTCGCATGGTGGAGAAGCAGCCCCATGAAGGTGCCCAGCCATGCAATGTTCCTGGAAGGCCGTCCTCCTCCTTGCCCTGGCCTCAATCGCCATTCAGTACACCGCCATCCGCACCTTCACCGCCAAGTCCTTCCACACCTGCCCGGGGCTGGCGGAGGCGGGGCTGGCGGAGCGGCTGTGCGAGGAGGGCCCCACCTTCGCCTACAACCTCTCCCGCAAGACCCACATCCTCATCCTGGCCACCACGCGCAGTGGCTCCTCCTTCGTGGGCCAGCTATTCAACCAGCACCTGGACGTCTTCTACCTGTTCGAGCCTCTCTACCACGTCCAGAACACGCTCATCCCCCGCTTCACCCAGGGCAAGAGCCCCGCGGACCGGCGCGTCATGCTGGGCGCCAGCCGCGACCTCCTGAGGAGCCTCTATGACTGTGACCTCTATTTCTTGGAGAACTACATCAAGCCCCCGCCCGTCAACCACACCACCGACAGGATCTTCCGCCGCGGGGCCAGCAGGGTGCTGTGCTCCCGCCCCGTGTGCGACCCCCCGGGGTCCCCCGACCTGGTGCTGGAGGAGGGGGACTGCGTGCGCAAGTGCGGCTTGTTGAACTTGACGGTGGCCGCCGAGGCCTGTCGTGAGCGCAGCCACGTGGCCATCAAGACGGTGCGGGTGCCCGAGGTGAACGACCTTCGGGCCCTGGTTGAAGACCCCCGGTTAAACCTCAAGGTCATCCAGCTGGTCCGAGACCCGCGTGGCATCCTGGCCTCCCGCAGCGAGACGTTCCGCGACACTTACCGCCTCTGGCGGCTCTGGTACGGCACGGGGAGGAAGCCCTACAACCTGGATGTGACGCAGCTGACCACAGTGTGCGAGGACTTCTCCAACTCCGTGTCCACCGGCCTCATGCGGCCCCCGTGGCTCAAGGGCAAGTACATGTTGGTGCGCTACGAGGACCTGGCCAGGAACCCCATGAAGAAGACCGAGGAGATCTACGGTTTCCTGGGGATACCCCTGGACAGCCATGTGGCCCGCTGGATCCAGAATAACACGCGGGGCGACCCCACCTTGGGCAAGCACAAATACGGCACCGTCCGAAACTCGGCGGCCACGGCCGAGAAGTGGCGCTTCCGCCTCTCCTATGACATTGTGGCCTTTGCCCAGAACGCCTGCCAGCGGGTGCTGGCGCAGCTGGGCTACAAGATGGCCATGTCGGAGGAGGAGCTCAAGAACCCCTCCGTCAGTCTGGTGGAGGAGCGGGACTTCCGCCCTTTCTCGTGACGAGGGCTGCGTGGGCGGGGGTGAGGGGCACGTGGTGTCGGTTTTGATAAAATGGACCGTTTTTTAACTGTTGCCTTATTTCCCCCTCCCTCTCCTGCCCGGTCTTTGTGTCCTTCTCACTGCCCCACCCCGACCCCAACAGGCCCCGCCCACCCTCCACTCCTTCTGCCTCTTTTTGTCTCTGAAATTTGCACTATGTCTTGGACAGGAATCACTGGGGCAGAGGGGGCGTGAAGCGGGGTAGAGCCCCCAGCCCACCCCCATTCAGACACACGGCTGTTGGGTCTCTGCGTGGATGGTGACAATGTTTACAAGCACCACACTCACACATTCACATACACACCCATGCACACACACGGGCGCCCACAAGGAGAGATACCCCCAAACCGGGGAACTTCTGCAGCATTTCCAGTGGCCCAGTAGTTGGGGTCTGGTAGTTTTGCACTGTCTTACTTCCACAAGGTAAGAGGGTAAAAACAAAAAGGCCACCTCTCTCTAATTTATGAATGGTGTCTAATCCCTCCCCATCCTGCTTCTGCCCCCAGTGCCCACTGCCCACCTCCCCCGACCCCGGAGCAGAGAACAGTCTGCACCCACTCCCCCTCCCCGGCCTGCCCTTGCCTGCCCCTGAGCAGGTTTTTACTGTGAGGTGAATGTGGACCTTGTTTATTTTTTCCAGTCTGTGGCGATGCTGTCTGTCTGTCTGTCTGAGTCTTGTGGCTGCCCCTGGACCAGTGACGGCTGATAAATCTTATGGGTTTCTGATTGATCTCGGGGTCCATCTGTAATATTTCTTTGTGCCAAAAGAAAAAAAAAAGTGGATCAGTTTGCTAAATGAACGTTGAAATGCTTTATCTGTGTTTTCTGTAAATAAAAGAGTGCAATAATATCTAGGCGTGACTGTGGGACATTCTGAAGGGGTGGCCTGGGTGGGGCCAAGCGGTTCCGGTTTGGGGGATGAGAGAGAAGGAGGTGGAGGCGGGGGTTCAGCGGCCAGTCTCTGGCTTTCAGAACTAGTGGCACTCTGTCACTGTCAACACTGAGCTCAGTGGTTCATTTGCACTCAGTTGGTGGAGACCAGGCCCTTTAGAGCCAGGGGTGATGTTCAAAATATGTAACAAGTGGCGTGGCTTGCTGACGTGATGTCCAGAGGTCAGGGTGAAGTCCTGGTGGGCCCTTCCTGTGCCAGGTGTTGCCCCTTTCATTGCTGGGTCTGGGGCCTGGATGGCTGGGAAGGGGGCCCACTCCCCGGGTGGGGTGGCTCAGGGCAGTGGCTGGGGGTCAGCTGGCCTGGAGGTATTTCTGTGTTGTAACCACTAGTGCAGGTGGGATATCAGCTGTGTGTACTTCCCTTCCCATCCTTGGCAGTGTAGCAGCTTCCTCCATGGGAACAACTTCCCGGCTGTTTGAAGAAAACAGCTGGCCCTGGGAGTGGAGGCCACAGCCCTGTTGTCCTGGGACAATGAGAGTCCCTCAGATCAAGCAGTCCCAGGGGTCCTGGGTTTCCTGAGGAAACTCACTCCTGGGCTATATTCTGTGAGTCAGGAGGATATGGATTTAGTGGCCATAGCAGATAACTCAGATAAAAGCTTCATCGAGATAGGCTATATTGTTTCCTCCTCGTTTAACAGCCTGTGCTGGCTTAAGCGGGGTTTGGTGGCCCCAGGGTTGTGTGTCCAGACAGGAGGGGCCCAGGCTCTTTCCATCTTGTTGCTATTCCATTATTCTGAGGTGTTGCCTTTGCCTATGTTGTCCAAGATGGCTCACTAGGCAATGGGAAGGAGGAAAACGAAGGAGGGCACAGCTCTGCCATTTGTGAACAACCCCCCCCCATGTTATAGACGTCACTTTCACTCATGTCTCATTGGCTAGAACCCAGTCAGCAGGACTGCACGTAACCCCAAGGGAGGCTGGGAAATGTAGTCCACTATCTGGGTGGCCATGACTTCTCAGGGGGCCCCACGAGTCAAAGGCTTATCTCCCTGGACTTCAGATTTCCTCTCTGCAAAAGGAAGTCAGTGTGATTTACACCCCTGCACGTCAACTACAGTTTCGAAAAGTCTGTCAGGACCGGTGGGCAGGGCCTGGTGCTCTCTGCTCACCCCCTGGTTCACCCGCTCTTCTCCAACCTGTGGTGAGTGAGGCAACCTATAAATTCGTTTCCTGGCATCAGGGCTCAGGGATCTCTCCCTCAGCTCCCCCGGCCGGCTGCTCCCCTGGGGAAGGCTTCCAGTGGAGGTCACAGCAGGTCGGTTCTTCCCCTGTTTATAGAAAATGGTACTGTGGGACTTCTTTCCCAGGGAAGTCCCTGTTCTTTACTTGCCCACTGCCCTGTCTCGGACTATCCAGGAGCTGGGACACTTCTTTCCTCTGGGTGGGTGGCTTCGTGGGGGAACTGGGAGACACTGGAGCTATTGGCCCCCTAACTGCCATGACAGATGGCGTTGATGACATGGACTGGGGCCTTAGAGGCAATTCCTGTTTAGGGATAGGATCACTCATTCACGTATTTCTGACTCTTCTGTGTACAGACCCTGGGGTTATGGATACTCCTTCAAGACTGTCTCGTGGGAGGCAGACAGATAAAAAGATGGGTATAGCACTGGTGAGGCACATGCCCCCAGGTGTGTGCCAGACAGGCACGGGTTTGGGTCCCGTAGGAATTTGGTCCTAGAAACCCCAAGGCCACTGTAATAAGGCACATGCTTTCCCCCTAGGCCTCACGGTGTCATTTGATGTGTCTTTGGTCTTGGAGGCTTAGAGAAGTCAGGGAGGGCTTCTTTGAGGTGGTGCTGCCTGAAACCAGTCTTGGAGAGGCAGGCACTGGCCCTACCCTGGGTGTGGGAAGATTGCCTTCTCCTGAGAGGGGAGCAGGTGCCAAGGCACAGAGGTGAGAAAGTGTGAGGCATTTATACCAGTGGGGGCTGCGGGCAGGAACAGGGGTGGGGGGAGACCGTGTTCCACATCCTGTTCTCAGCTTCTCAAGCTCGGAAAGTCCATTTTACTGGCTCACCCAGGGCAGATCCATCCGCCTTCAAGGGATTTATTTGTGATGATCAGCTACACTAGGACCAAACTCCTAGACTCCAAGACTCCTGTTCTCTTGGAGGCTCTGTGTGTCTTGGCTCCCCGACCTGCAGCTTTACCCACACCATGCTCTTCTCTACTCTTCACTCTCTTGTCATCCTCTTCCTTTCAATTCCTTGAACACGCTGAGAGACTGTTGTGGTTAGAACCCCCAATTTGTTCATACCCAACTCTGGGCTTAGCCCCGTGCCCTGCTTTGGCCAATGAGACAACAGCAGATGCGGTGGGTACGGAGACATGAAACGTACCTTTGGAAGTTGTCCTTTTTGGCTGCCTGGTAGCAGCCTTTCGCTGCGTGTGAAGGAAGCCCAGCAGAGCTTGCTGAGGAATGCAGATCACAAAATGAAGAGCCGAAGCTCCCCAGCAAGGTCCGTCAGCGCTTCCCTGGCTTGGCAGCTGCCTCAGACGCAGGAGTGAGCCCTAGCCAAGATCAGCCACGGTATGACCTGAATTGTTGGAACTGCCTGGCGGATTTCAGCCCAAATTTCCGACCCACTAAATGGTGGGTTAAAAACAACAAAAAGTTTTAAGCCACTACGTTTTGGAGTGACTTGTTATACAACAAAGGCTAATGTCATGCTCTGTCCCATGGGGGTGTTAGCCGCGACCAGACCGCTCCTTATGCCTGGATCAGTCTTACTCCCCTCTTTACCCAATTAATATCCACTCATCCTTTGGATCTCAGCTTAATTATCAACATTTCCTTGGTTTTACCAGATTAGTCCTGTTGTCCCGAGGATAGCTCCATATATAACTGATTCTGTATCTCATACTTGTATATCCTGTTTATAGCCCTGATGGCCCTGTGTACATATAGTATAGTATTTATAGTATTTATTTATAGTACATATAAATATATGTACTATGTTATATATAGTACTATATATTTACTATAGTACTATAATATACTATTTATTTATAGTACATATAGTATAGTATTTATAGTATTTACCACAGTTGTAATCACACCTTTTATTACAGGACCTGGCACATAATAGGTGTTGAATAAACCTGGGTTGAATGGATACAAGAGTGAATGAAGCTGGTAATCCCCACTTGCTCACTTTCCTGGGACCTTCATGAAGAAGTGGGCACATCCTCTTAGGGATCAGGATGAAACCTGAGGCAGCTCATGCCCTCCCAGGCTGTTCTGAAAAGTTATCAGGAGTGGAAGGGTTCCTGGGAGGCTCAGCGGGTTAGGTGTCAACTCCTGATTTCTGCTCAGGTGGCGTGAGATCGAGCCCCGAGTTGGGCTCCAGCCTGTTTGAGATTCTCTCTCTCCCCCTCCCCCACAAAAAAAAGGAAACTTGGGGCACCTGCGTGGCTCAGTCGTTAAGTGTCTGCCTTCAGCTCAGGTCATGATCCTAGGGTTCTGAGATCGAGCTCCCTGCTTGGCGGGAAGCCTGCTTCTCCATCTCCCACTCCCCCTGCTTGTGTTCCCTCTCTCACTGTGTCTCTCTCAGTCAAATAAATTAAAAAAAAAAAAAAAAGAAGAAAGAAAGAAAGAAAACTTAATGGAGGATTGGGCTGAATTTTGTCCCAGGACTCAATGTCCACCATTTCTCCCCTGCCCCACCCCAACCATGGTCAACAATTCTAATTCCGCATGGACTTCCTGTTTCTTTGCTGCGATGTCTCACCTGCCTGGCTGCCTGTTACAATTTCCAAGATAAATGCTCTGCAGAATACCATTGAACAAATGTGTGTAGAATTTTACAGTTTACAAAGCATACTTCCCTTCCTATTAGTCACACCTCTATAGCGGCTGTTTCCTGCTGACACAGAGGCACCTCTTCCTAGCCAGGAAACAGTGGTCAGAGCACCACGTAGGCAAGACTGGCCCTGCCCACTTCTTCTGTGTGTAGCGCTTTGATGGCTCAGAACCTAAGGAGTTACTTCCTGGTCTCGTCCCCACACCTGGGGCCTGTCCTATTGATTCTTGTCATCGCAGGTTTCCTCTGTTTGTGTGTTCCCACCTGCTCCCTCGGTTCTCTTCTCGCCAACAGCACTCCAGCTTTCCCGTCCCACTTCCCTGGTGCTCTTGGGAGCTCTCTGGGCTCCATTTCTCATCATCCCAGAGGATCCTGTCTGGGGCAAACCTCAGTGCCACCCTGGGGGAGAATTTCCCCCTGCTGGATGCCTCTCCTTGTTGGGAAGGAAAAGATATGGGAGAAGCACCTTCATGATCTATAGAGAACACACATGCTTTCCTGTTTCCTGAGGGTTGGGAAACAGGTTGGAATCACATCCTCACATCCTCACAGGCAGGTGGCCAAGGCTGGGACCCATCAGGGAGTCTGGCTGAAGCTGTGGGCTGAGTGGTCACTGGGGTGGGGGGGGTGAGGGGGGGTGGTGTGTGTGTGTGTGTGTGTGTGTGTGTGTGTGTGGACAGCTAGGGAACTAATGCCCACATAGAGGACCTGGCTGGCCTGGGGGCCTGCAGCCTGCCTGCTCAGAGCACGCACAGACAACCAGCTAGTCTTCACAGAGCCCCACAGTGCTCCATTGAAACCTCAGATCTTCCCACCTGCCCACCTCCCCTCTCTACTTGCGCTGTTTGCTTCCAGGACTTGAAACCTGCAGATAACTTGTATTTGAAGTTGGGTCATAGTCATCTTGAAGAGCACTGTGATAAAAAATGAGGTTCTAGGTTCTGGTCCCATCCTTGCCTCTACTTGCTGTGTGACCTTATGCCCATCACTTAATCTTCCTGAGCCCTCATGTCCTTATCTGTACAGAGATAATCATTCTAATACCTGTCTCTGAGGGCTACTCGGAAGATGGCATAAGGTCGTG